TTATGAATTCTCTTATTAACAATTAAATCTAAATTTTATTTAAAATGAGAAAATATTATATCCACAAGTTTGAAGGTTTTAATTTTTTAAAATTTTAATTTGATTTAATTTAATAAAAACGAAGAGTATTTATGTGAGATTTTAACTTGATTTGATATAATAAAATAAATAATTTTAATCCCTTACTTTATTGGTTTGATCTGATGAATGAAGGAACTTTGATCATGTGCTTCTTTTATTTAAAAATGATTTTGAACATCAATAGTCTCGGGTGTTGTCATTATATGCTTGATTTAATAGTTTAGTTGTTTATTTATATAGTTACATCATGTACAGTTTATCTTGAATATCTTTTATCTAAAAGGTGTATTGGATAAATATATGAAAAAAATATAAAATATTCTTAATTAGAATAATACTAAAGTAAGAAACATAAAATATATTTGGAGTGATTTTTTAATTTAATATTAGATTAAAATATATTCGTAATTAGAATAATATCAAAGTAAAAGCCATAAAATATATTTATATTATTTTTTAAAATTTAATTCAAGTTAAAATCTAATAAATTTAATTTGTCTAGTCACAAGATCATTGAATAAACTTATAGAGATTTTAGTTTCTACACAAACAAATCCAAATATTCGAACAAAAACATCTTTTAGAGTTGAGATGTCACATCTCGATAAAACTTCGGTTCTTTCCTTGATTCACAAAGGCTTGTCAAGTAAGTAGCACTGCATCTTTTTGGTTACAGGAAGCGGTGGACTTTGGACAAGCATCCTGAAAATAACTTTCTATATTTGTTTGTATTTTATTACTATTATAAAATTTGGTAGTAAAACATAATTTACAGTTAAAAGAAAATTTTGTTTTATTTTCATATAAGTGTTATTCTTTTATTTTAATTTTAGATGAAAAATACTTTTTAAAAATTATGATAAATTAAAAAATATTTTTTTATGTGATAATTATATTAGGTTTGATTTTTAATATTTTGACATATATTTTGTTTTGAAATTTTTTTATGAATTTTATTTTTTAGAATCTAACCTAATGTGATTTCTATACCGGTTTTGTTTTTCATTTTATTTCTTATTTTTATTAGTTTTTATCTTATCATTTTATTAATTGAAATTTTTATATTTATCATTGTTATTTACTTTACTTGAAATAATTTATATAATTAAAGTTTATTTTCAATTTTATTATTTTTTATCTTTTTATCTGTTAAATTTAATATTTAATTTTGAATTTTGAATTTTTATTTATTTTATGTTGAAATAATTTATAAAATTAGATTTTTTTTTAATTTTATCATAATTTTATTTTTTTATCTGTTAGATTTAATTTATATTCTTTAAATAAATTAAAAATATTTTTAATTTATTTTTTATAACACAGTTAAATACTGTAAAAAAAATTTAAATTTATCTTTTATAATATTAACAAACATGAAAAAAAATACATTTTTTATAATTTGTTTTTACATAACAACGAAAAAAAAAAAACAGAAGAAGAAAAACTACTTTCCGCCCTTAAAGAAAGATAGTGAAAGGGGGAG